GCCCGCAGCAGAGAGGCATGTCTGGGCCTGCAAATGAACCGAGATGCTGTGGTGCCTCAGCTGCAGAGGTCAGGCACGCTATGGAACAAGCCTGCTGGGGATACCCAGGGATGCCGAGCACTGGGAAGCCTTTTAGGATGACCTGCTGATCATTACTGCAAGAAACAGCACTACCATCTCAAAGAAGGCCTGCTTCGTGCTGAAAGGAAGCAGAGAAACGGGCCTTTACAGCCTCACAAATGGCATTACTTTGAGAACAGTTTTCCCAGAGACTGTCTGTGGAAAATAATGCAGTCACACACACTGCAGGTGTCTCCTGGGATCTGCTGAGCACCCAGGGGCTGCCAGCTGAAGCACAAACTGAATGCCATGACTCAGGCTGCTGCTCCCAAAGGAAGGCTTTACTTCTGCCCCTGGGATTTCCAGCCTGCAAAGGGCAGTGTCCAGAAGCCACAGAACCTCACAGGTCCTGTGCAACCAAGAGGCATGTCCAGGTTTGCCACGGAGCCAGTCCTATACAGAGCAGCAGGAAAGCCTGTTAAAGGGAAAAAGGAGTACATAAAACAGGAAATCTCACCTTTCAAAACACACCTGTCTGCTCCCTAGATGCTGATAAGTGGTATCCAAGAAGTCACAATTGATAAAATTATTGAGAAGAACCAGAGCTGGATTCCAAAATAAGAGCATTGGAATAAAACATTTCCCTATACAAGCAGCAGTGGTTCCACTGAGCCTTCCTCCCTATCTTTCTCCTCTCAAGGGGAGGTAAAAATATATAAATAAATAAAATAAACCAAGTCCTTCCCCCACCCCACAGTCCGCATTTAGCCCTGCTGCTTAGAAATTTGCAGATGTTACTGTAACACACAGTGGCTTTGGTGATTATGTGGATACTCCTATTGAGTCCTCCCAAGGAATCCATTAAAATGGATACAGTTTGCACACAATATCACTGATGCTCATTTCTAACATCTAAACTATTATTTAATGTTACAGAAAAAGATTAAGCATTGAATAACAACTGTGCTTCCTTTTGTTTCTCAGTTTTTAGCATTTTCCACAAAGATACCACATTACACAGTAAATAACAATTCAGTCAGACCAGTGGGAGGGAGTCCAGTTAGGACTCTCCATTTCCCTACCCCTTGTGCTGCCACACTGTCACTTCAGTCTCCTACTGTAGAAACGAACAGCTGAAAACAAAATAAACCTTTCAATCGCTGTTTAATGCAAGAACATGTTTACATCTTCTTACACTGTTTCTGAAATGTCAGAATTGCTGACCCTCATGAACAAATGGCTTCTTCACTTTTTAAATATTCAAGCCTTACCTTCACTTTTTGCAAAAGCACTGCCAAATGTAAGCCACTATAGAGGTTTTTTTTTTTTTTTGGGGGGGGGGAGGGGGTTTGGTTTTTATTTTACAGCCCAAGTCTTTAACAACTGGAGATCTACTGGTGATGTTGATATGAATTCAAGCTGTAGCACAACAAAATTTGTCCAAATTAAAACGAGCTAAAGGGATTCTGAAGATGAGGGTGAACACCTGATACTCACTCTTTTATTAAGGCACTGGGACTTGTGAAAACATTTCATGGAGAGCATGGCTCATCTCTGGTAGAAACCTGCTCATGTCCTCTCTCCTCTTATCTTCTGCTAATTCTGCATCATGATGAACCTGGTATCAACAAAAGAGACGTGGTTAGGCACGCTACTCTTTGAGAGACGTACAGGCCAGAGGCTTTATGATTCTCTTCCCTTTTATTCCCTTTTCTTTCCAGAGCCCCCCTCAAACCATGGAACCACTGAGGAGGAACCACAGGAAGGTATCAGTCGAGACTGCTACGTTCTGTCAAAGTACAGGACTGTGGATACAGGTACCACAAGAACGCAAGTAGAGATGTCTGTCATTTTCTCTGTTTCCTTTCTAACTTGTTTCTTCAGTTTTATTGGACAAGAAACTATTTACATAGACTAAATAAAATGAAACTACATCTTTCCATCTTATAGGCACTGTGTAGGAACTGAATCAGGGAGAGGGACTGCATGGAATTTTTTCTGTTTCATAAAGAGCTGCCTGAGGTGATACAGAATTATGGTACTTCACTGAAGTCCATAAATCTCCTGTGGTTTACACTTTTAGTGTGTCTCATTCACTGGATCTAAAGCAGAAGTGTACGAAAAAAGAAGAAATTACTGAGCAAACTTACGCAGGAAAAGTGCTGTTCAAATACCTGCCACTATAAAACTGCATGTTATATCTTATCGTGTTCTTGGGAATAGTAAACTAATTTCTCTCAGAAAAAAATCCTCATATCTCCCAATCAGAAAACTCTTCCCTCAGAATGCTCAATTTTGCATATTGCACTCTTCCACTATTATTTGGTTTACAGCATCCCTTCACCTGGAAGAACAATTTCTACATCACTTATAAAAAATGTTGCCATAGCTCAATTTTTTCATCACTTATTTTGGCCACACAAAATAAAACATCAGGCAGGCATTTGTATAAGGACTTTGTTCTATTCTGTTTAAAGTTCCTGTTAACAGAGTCCATAAAACTATTTTCATTTCACAAAGCATTTTAGAGTTTTTTATTCCTGTAATTTAAAACAATGAGCTATTTTGGGAGGGGCAGAACAGGATGGATCCTATTTTAAATTATTCTGCTGTTAAGCATTTGTAGCCAAACAAAATTCTAAGTTATAGATATTATAAATATAATATCTATATATAATGAATATCTAATATATAAATATAATATCTATATAATATCTAATATATAAATATCTAAAACATAATATAAATATAGTTATTCTTACGTAATAAGAAAACAAATATTAAGAACCTCTGCCACCTCAATCTGTGGGACAAAGGTCTGGAAGGGAAAACATCAACAATGTAATCAAATAAAGATAATTAAACAGGTAGGATCTATTTTTATTAGTTTTTTGCAATATCAGTTTCAGAATTTAGCTCATTTGGTGAGAACAAGTCAACAGGTGTGGGATATTCAGCAAAGGCAAATCTGAGATTTGCTGTGTACTTAAAGAAATCCACTTTACCACTTGCTCAGAGAAAATAAACATGCCATAAATAACAATAAACAACTAGGCTAGTAAATATATTTCACTACAAGAAAGAGCCGATAAATGGGCACAGTATTTTGTCTATGATTTTCCATAAAATTTTTTGCACTACTGATCAAATATAATGACTGACATTCCTTACAAAGTTGACTCGGTAGCCCTGCTACTTTGCTACTGTTAGTTCACATCGCTACGTTTAAGATTTGCAATCCTGAACTAAAGCCAAAGCTGGTTCCCCTGGGCAGCTGGAATTCTGTCCACGACAAACACACTTGGACGGGTGAAGACACAGTGTCTCCTTCACACAATTAACGTGCAAGACAATTTTTTACTTCTATTCAGCTATTAAAAAGTCAGAGGCATATTTTCCTTCATAGTTATGATATAAAAGAGAATAATATATGATCTCTAACTGGACTACACACCCATTTGCCGAATAACTTTTCTTTTGCATCAAAAAGCTTTGTAACAAGTAACCTTCACAACATTGCTCTGTCCCAAACGAAGAAGTCAAGCTCATAGGGTTCATAAAACCAAAAAAAGGAGCAAGTTCTCATCAAACCGAACCTCGTCCCCCGAGCCCCCGCCTGTTCCCATCCACACCGGGGCTCATCTGCAGCCCAGGACTGACACCAGCGCTCACTGCAAAATGCACAAGGGCTGAGGAGGTCATCAGCTCCCGGGGCTTGGTTATGGCCATTGGTTTTACACGAAAAGCAGGAGCTGCTCTCGGGACAAGGCTTTAACCCAACAGATCTTTTGAAAAAGCAAGCCCGTCCTTCTCCCTGCCCTCCGCTGCCCCAGCCAGTGCCCCTCACGGCGCCTCTGCCCGCGGCCCTGGCTGTGCCCACGACACCCGCCCCTCTCCTGTGCCCACAGGTGCCGGGAGCCAGCTGAGCCGTGTCCTGCCTGCTCCCGCCACCAGAACAAACCATGAGCAGCATCAGAATCTCAGCCGGAGCGCCCCGGGCACACGGACACCCCCACAGCCCCAGCACAGCCCGGCTGAGGGAGGCCCGGGCCGTGAGGGCACAGCGGCGCTGAGGGGCTGCCCGGGCCGGGGATCAGAGTCATCTAGTTATCTAAACCATCGTCAACGCTGCGGCAACCACGGCACTCCAGGTCTCTCCTGCACATTTTCTGATAATTGTCCTTGATGCTGGAGTGAGAACCTGTGAACTTGCACTTAAACGATACCCTTTCCTCACTTCTCTGGAAACAGCCCATGTTTCTCCTTAGACTGAGACAGCTGCAGGGTTTGTTCTCTGAATCTATTACTAAAGAACTACCTGGAAGGTCTATTTAAGCAACTCTCTTCCCTCAAGGAAGAGGTTGAGCTTAAACTGAACTAAAATTCCTTGCACGTTTACCTCAGCCAGCGGGGAAACGGGGACGGACGTTCTGGACAAGGGGTTAAAAGCGGCTGCGACCTTCATTCAGCTGAGAGACCTCACTGGGGACTGGCCGGTGAACTCCCCCTTTTATTCGAATAAAAGCTTAGTTTTAGCTCCTCTGCCTCTGGGATATTTTTGAGGCTCCTCACACCAGAAACAGGCAGGTATTTTTCAGAGCAAGGTGCCCGTCCCTCAGAGCCAGAAGGGCACGCGCGAGGGGTCCGCGCGAGGCACCGCGCCCCGCGCCCCCCCCCCGCCCCCCCTCCCGCGCGCCGGCCAATCGGGCGCCTCCTCGCGTTCCCGCGCGCACCGCCCACCTGCGGTCGGGGGCGGGGCCGAGGAGGGGGGTGACGTCACGGGCGGTGCCGCGCAGGCCCCGCCCCCCGGTAACGGGCCGTGAGGCGCCGCTGTCACGGCGCGAGGGGAGCGCGGCGCTCCTGCCCACACAGCCGAGCGGCTCGGGGACTGCCCGCCCGCTGCCCTCCAAAACAGCGGGCACGGCCGGCCTGCCGTGCTGCTGCTGGCTTTTGGGGTGGTGTTTGGTTTTTTTTTTTTTTTTGGCCTCGTCTGTTTGGATTTCTTCCTAAACTTATGAAAAATGGCAACAGCAGCCTATGTGGACCATTTCGCGGCAGAGTGCCTTGTTTCCATGTCAAGTCGTGCTGTTATCCACAGTCCCAGAGGGGAGCCTGATGCCCAGGCTGGTGAAGCAATATTTGCTCCATCCAGTGGAGAAGACAAGCGGGAAGTCAGAGAAGCCGGGAAGGACAATGGACCCTCCTTACTGGTCGTAGCCAGCATTTTAGCAGACCTGAACCAGCACGTCCCAAACTCACCTGCGCTGAGGATGGACAACACGGAGACCCTTGATAGAACAGAACAGATACCCATTTCTATTGCTCCTAAGGAGTTTGGGGAAGAAAGTGTGTCCTCGGCTGGTGAGCATGGAGGAGAGCGAGCAGCCACACCTACCAGCCTGGCTGCAGCCACTGAGCCAAGCCCCAGACAAAAGAGCAAACGCCTCAGAAGCTGGACTGACCCTGGATCACCCCAGAAAAAGCACAAATGCCACTATGTGGGGTGTGAAAAAGTTTATGGCAAATCTTCCCATCTTAAAGCTCATCTAAGGACCCACACAGGTTAGTTACAATCCAGCCGGAGATTTATTTGTTACAGCTTGGTAGTTAAAATGAAAACCAAAACGAAACAAACTTTTATTTGGCCACTGTTACGGTTTCACCTCTCGGAACTCAAGCTCGGGAAAGCCAAACAGCAAAAAAAAAAACCCACCCCAAACCTCTGGGAATAAACCCTTACTGGGCATAGATTCAAAGCTAATGTTGCCCTGTTTTATTAATGTCACAGGGAATGGCACGTAGGTCATCTGTGTGGATTGTACCAAGCTGTAATTTTTAGCTGCTAGCCTTCTTGTTCTGTGTGTCTTGTACTTCCCTTTCCAATACTTCTTACCTCCCTGTTTTCCCTGCCCCATGCTCCCATCACTATACCAGCTTATCACTTCCCATGCGAGCTTCAGGACTCTCGATATTTTAAAATTAAATGTTCTAGAGGCACCTAAATGGCTGTGTGTCTGTTTCTTTCTTTAGCAGACACTTTGTGAAAGCTAGAGAAAGCAGAAAGGCAGATGGAGAGGCTGAACACCATTAGTGAGGAGAGAGAGTGGGACAGGGGCAGTCTCTAAGAGGCTTTTGGCAGCTGGGTAAAACCGATTTTAAACCAAAAAACATTGGAATGCAACCACTAACTTGTACTCCTCAGAGCGCAGTCCTTACTTCTTGCTGAAGACTTATCTGACCACTTTTTTGTTGCTATTGTAATTTATGAGACACACCCATAGAAAAAGTGGAAGTCTCGCAAGCGCTGTGAAAGTTGCCCCCAAAGCGTTAGGAGGGCCATGTTGAAGGAGGCCCCAGGCCTGGCCACACCTCATGCCTCGTGCTGGGGAACAGGGCGGCTTCAGTCAGACAGGGACACCAAAAATTGGGGAGACTGGTCTCTGCTGGGCATCAACCACAGCACATCTGCCGAGGCACCACGGCCACCAGAGCAGCTTGTGCAGCTGCTGCACTGCCCCATTCCAGACAGCACGTCTGTCACTGGGATACACGCTCAGTGCTCTTGGAAGGAGCAGTGAGAAAGAGATCCCCAGAACTAAACATGACTTAGCAGCTCCCGAACAGTTTTAGCTCAGGCGCGTCAACCTCACCCATCTGGCCAGACCTTCGTTGTCCCTTCGGGTTTCCCTGTTGCCTTCCCGAGATAAAGCAAGAGCCATGCTAATTTGAGGGGATGTTTTGCTCTCTGGGGGAGAGAAGAAAGCCCCATCGAGTGTGAGCGTACGGATGGACAATTCCCCGTGGCACACAGCCAAGGGAACAGCATGTTCCTGGCACCCCAGGCAGCCTGTCCTGCTTTGCACTGTGCGACTGCTTTTTGCCGCCCTGGGAGCTGCACAGAAAAGGTGCTTCCACTTGGCTTGCAGGGAATTATCTCCGTTAATTTTCAGTTCTTTTGCATTCCTATTGCTGGCATTTGCCATTGTCCCGAAAGCCAAAGATAAATTTAGATATGTTCCTGGGTTCCCAAAGCAAGCAGAGCCCAAGAAGGGAACTCGAGTCCCTGATAGAGCGGAGGGCTGGGCATGGGGAGAGGAGGGCGGGGAGTGCCGGCACGGCGGAGTCATTCGGGGACGCTGGCTCGCCTCCAAGAACTCTGGTTTTTTTCTTTTCCTCTCTCTTTTTTTTTTTTTAACTCTTAATTTCCTGTATTTTTTCCAGGTCTGTAGGGCTCAGTTGGCTATTGTTGTAGCTAATGGCACAGAGAAGAGAGCATGTGCGCGTGTCTGAGAGCTAAAGGAAAAGCAGGGAAGGGACTGTTTTTGCCCAGGGAGTGGCAGAACCCTCGGGGACTACAGCTTCTTTGTTTTCTTTCGTCTCCAGTGTCTGTGTGGGAAGCCTTAAGCAAAGCTGCCAAGTTTCCCTCCTCATTGGCAACAGGTCTGTCTCTGTTTGGGCTGAGTTTTAAACAGGCTTAAATGCCTCTTACTCCCCTTCCAGAGTGTTTTCGAAGGTGTTGGAATTTTCTTCTATCTTTACAAGAAATTGTGACAGGCTTGAAAAAAGTTTGTAAGATACTAAGACTTAAGAGCGAATAGAACAAGTGATGACTTCCAGGACTAGCAAATGTTTGCTTTTAGGAAAAACCTAATGGGTTTTACTGATTTAGAACGAGGGGTTTGGGTTTCCCTGTGCTTTCCAATGATCCTGAACTAGCTCAGTAGGGCACCAGTCTGCCCATGTGTCAGATGGGTAAGGGGAGAGGTGTCCACCTCATCCTGCAGCGCTGAAAGGACTCCAGGGACACAGGGAAGGTGCTTGAAACACCAACCCAAAGAACTGCCAAACCTCTTTACTAAGAAACAGTCAAAACCTTCTGCCGGGGTGTGCAGCTTCTTCCACTGCTTTATGAGCAGCTGAGCTGGTGTTCAGGGGTGAACTGAAGGCTGAGAACAGAACTGCAGGCCAGAGAAGATGATCATCCAAGAGATACCTGAACAGAGCAGTTTGGGACCTCCTTTAGAACCTTCCTTGTCCTTGTCTGCTGCTGTGCTCAGAAACTAAGGGCTTTGCTCTTCCTGCTTGGAGGAAGGATAGATCCTTGAGCTTGTGGTGTGGCAAAGAGATACAGAGCTTTCCAAATACTCCTGGGTCAAAGCCAGCCCACTTTGATAGCGACTGAGAGCTGGGAGCACTTTCCAGCTGTTTGGTGCCCTGTGTGAAATCCTTCTGATACTCATAGCTTAGTTATCTAAAGCAAAAAACATACTGCAGAGGATGCTAATTATACTATTTAAAGCAAAAGAAACAAGATGGAAAAGCCAAGGAAACAGCATCTGCCTTTTGTCCTCTACTCTGAGTACAAAAAAGTTTCAGACTTAAGTACCTGATTAGCACAAACTGTTTCTGGTGCCCTTCTTTAGTGCCCTTCCAGTGGCTAAGCTGTCTCAGCCCTATGAATACTTCATCTTTAGTAAACTGCAAAGCCTTGCACCAGGCAGAAAACATTTACCACCAAAATCTTTACTATTCTCTCCACCAGCTTTCAATGTTCCCCTTCCCCTACATTTCTTTTCACATTTATGTTTTCCACCCCACTTTCTCTCTGGATGTCCTGGAGTTCAACATAATCATCAGCCACATAGCCCTTGAAGTTTTAATGTTTCCCAGGAGGTTATACTGAGTGTCAGGGGTAGATGTCAAGCCCAAATTCTTGTCCAGTAAGGTTGCTGTGGATCTCAGCAGCTGTGTTGTGGTCCACAGGTACAGCACCCTGTTTGCCCAAGCTATACTGACCCCACTGATACAAAGAGTTTCATTTCCATACTGGTTTTAAAAATTCTCTCCACGCCTGAGAAAATTCATAAACACAAAGGACTTCCAGAAAATCACATAAACCATTTACACAACAAAGTCATCCTTCCTCTAAGCAGGTTTTCAGCACAAAGGTTGGAAACACTTTGTCTCCTGATGCACCAGTGGGGAGACAGTGCAGAGCCTGATAGCAATCCTCAGGCTACAACCTCATAAAGCGTTTTCCAGGACCACTAAGTTCTGAAGAGGTTGTAGAGAGCCCCAACTTACTGCATTATAGAAAAACTGACTGGATTTTAGCCAGGGATCACAGAAATCCTGTACTGCAGCTCCCCTCCAAATGATTGTGACCTCTCAAGCTTTTAGCCATCTTCATTAGCATGGCATCATGAATGCAGAGATGAAACAAAATAAACCTTTGTCTAATTCCATCCTGCTAAAGTCAGTCATCCTACTCACTAAGCAGCACATCATAACAGGAACAGCTTTTCAGGAAGTCATCAGAACTAAATGAGTTCGCACAAATTAGCATAAACTTTCACCAGTCTCAGTCTGGAGTCTCACCATAGGAGAGTCTTGCAGCAAAACAACCTGTGGGCCTTGTGGCTTAACAGCAGCTCCTCTGTACTACTGCTCAACTGGCTCTGTGTGGCTGTTGGGGCACAGGAAGAATTATGTGACCCTTGCTCGTTGTGTCAGGTCAGGACTCATCCAAGGGAGAGTGCTCGAGACCTGTGTCTGTCTCTGTGTGGCAGAGTGAGCTTGGGCAGCTCTGTATTCTCTGCTCAGCTTTACAGTTATGGAGGTTTTGTTATTTGGCACCTGTTGTTGTTTTTAGTCTAACCCTTACTCAGGAAATATTGGTTGAATTAAAATAGGTAGAAAAGACCGATTCATTTCCATTCCCTTGTAAAGAAGTTCCCATTTCTTTACATTACATCACTATAAGCACATTTTTGAGGACAACACTAATGAACCCGGGTGAAAGTTATTTTTTAGCTTATGTGCCCTTTGATTGCATCAATTAGTAAATCTCGTTTCCCTAGGCAACATTTTTCTGATGATTTTGTAGCTGAGGTACATGAAAATGGAGAATTTAATAACGGATTTTGTATTTGAAAGCAATCTGAGAAATGAAGCTCCAACCTCACTGTGACAAGTATGACAACAGCATAACAATTGGGCTGGCCAAACTGGAGTAGAACACGGCCTGTGCTCAGGTTGGTAAAGGGCCTTTCTAGAAAGAACAGATAATATGTTTTGAATAGAGGCTTGGATTTCACTTTCAGTTCTAGGATTACTTTAATTCAAACCAAACAGTAAAGCACAGCTTCCTCTAGTTCTGAATGAAGATGCTGTCTGTGTGAAGAAACCAATTCACCAAGCACGTTCTTGTGTCAGTGAAATAAAGTTCCTACCCCATTTTAGCACCTGGCGTTTACCAGAAACATGGCTAGTTAGCCAAAACCCATGGGGTTTCCTTTAGCTTGCCTTGGGCCCACACTGACTGCTGAAGGGCTCAGTGTAGCTGTGTGCAGTGCTTGGGAACACCCAAGGCTCTGCAGGAAAAGATTACCAGGGAGAAACCTCATCTACTGCCTTCTGTGCCTGCAGATAGCTCTTGTACAGCAGGGTGAAATGAGTGGGTACTGGTGCTTTAATCCATCCTCTGCTAAACTGCCAGCTGGGCTGCCCCGCATGCCAAGGCTTCTGGGGAGCTGCACTCCCTCTGAACAGGATGCCAGAGG